CATACATACACAAATATATGTATGTATGTACATATGTAATAATGTTGGGCGCTTAAAAAGTGTTTATTTAATTTCATTTAAATGCCCAAAACGTGTCTGAATTTATAGTTTGTGGTGCGTGATTTTTTATTTTTATTTTTATTTTTTTTGAATATCTGCTGCTAAAATAAACAACTGCATGTGTAATATGCAATTCAGTTAAACAAAAGGATTTTCCATTTGTTATTAAAAGTGCTTAGTGCATTATTTATTATGAGCAGAGTTAAATTCATAAAAACTCAAATGCGCCCAAAATTATGCTTGAACATAGCTTTGGGTCTTAATTTTATTAATGTGATTTGTGAAAAATGAACTGGGTTTTTTCTGTGGCTGCAATGGCTGAACGAAATCCTACATGTTTAACATCGACCGCAAAAAAGTGTAAAGGTAAATTTGCATATCAAATTATAATTGTTTATTTTTTTAATAGCACTTCTAGTGTTAATACTTTCAAATTAATTATTAAATCAAGTGAGAAGATAAACCATAGTTTACCGCCTATAGTTTTTCCATGAGGTAAATTAGTGTAAGTATCTAAGTTATTTTTTAAATATGTTGGCTAAAATAAAAAAAATAATTTAATTCGTTAAAAGCAAAAACTCATGATTTTCGCCGGTTGGATAGGCATAAAACCTGCTGTAGAAAACCATTTTCGCATCAGCTTGCGGGTAACATGAATAACTCAAAACTGTGGATAAATATTTAATAGACAATTTATTAAAATGTATTTTGCATGGGAGTCTAAGCAGCTTTCTCTCGAAATTTTCTTGAAACACATTTAAGGGCTGAAATAAATTTATATTGTCAGTTAGTTCTAAAATTTTTATGGATGAACACCTAAAATGAATCTAGGTAAATTGGATAAAAGGTAAATATCAAAACAAAAAAAATATATAAAATATCCGGAAATATATTCGGATATATCATGCTTTTCAGACGTTCAAAGTCCTCTAGTCGTTCAAAGCTATAAGCCTTCTAAGTGAGCTGCGAAGGCTCCAACGCCTGAAAATCTTCCAGTGTGAAGTTGTCTGACCTAAATTTCACCGCGTTGTATATGGTCCAGCTTATACAACCAGAACCGGACAACTTTGGAACTTTTTTGTGAGGCCTCAAAATTTACTTTTGTCAAGTTATGGTCAAAGTATCGACCAATGAAGATCAATAAGTGGTCCAATTTTACCTCAAAAAAAGCTTGCTAGAATTCCCGCACTACTCCTAAGGCAAACATCAATGGCGTACATAGCATTTTCATGCGAAGGGGACCAAGAGGATTGATTAAGAATATTTCAATATCAGTGATATTTGCTTTGTGCGTCTCCATGCATATAAAATCTATAGAAGCTAGCTTTAAAAGCTTCTTCGCTGTATATTGTTTTATCGTGACTGATATAAAACAATTATGACCAAAACATCAACCGCAGTCGAAGCTTTTTAAAGCTTTCAATAGTTTTCATAGAGACCAGTCCCGACCATAACATATTCCACTGGGGAGCTTTCTAAAGCGTTCGGTAGTTTTCATAGAGACCAGTCCTTACCAAAACATATCCATCAGAAAGAGCTTTTTAAAGCATGCTATATTTTTGTGTGCACGCGCGCAGTGAAAAAACCTGTCCCCCCCTTCATTGGCTAAAATGCCGTAAAAAATAAAAAAAAAATAGATTATTTTGAGCTGGCCGCTTAAGAACATGTTTAAAGCTTTCCATATTCTTTTCTATTGACGACCACAGAACGAAATCTTTTTCTTTTCAAAATAGGAGAGAGACACAAGGGTACAGACTCCAGTTTTGAGCATTTCTAAAATTTCTGAGTTTAAGGATTAAAACGTGTTTTCTTTACATTTTATTTGTCAAAAAATTTATCTTTATTACTGGTCTGACCAAAACCATAGTTTTCTGCCATGAAAAGCTTTTCATAAAAGAACGCTGAACGCTCAGAGGCAGCTTCAAATTGGAGAAAAAGCTGGAGGAAGCTTAGGGCAATTTGCAAGCTCAATTTTATTTTATTTTTTAACTTTTTATCATGTGTCGAACTTTTTTTCAAATAGATACTATTTTTGTGTTTGAATCGAAATGAGTTAGTATTATGTTACTTTATTCAAATAACAGAAAAAATTAGCTTTTTTATTTATCTTCTTTTGACTCCGCAGTTGACTCCAAAAATGCTTTCACTCCCTAGGATTTTTTTCCCCTAAAAAATATATCCCAATATTTTGCATTTGCAATTAAAAAATATTTAGAGGTCGCTCAAAGCGCTTGCAGTATTCCATGTGTTAAATATGGGAGCAACTTTTCGTAGAAATGGTATAAAATTGTTGAAAATGAATATTATTCTGGTTTCTTCAGGGGACTTCCAGTAATAATACACAATTATTTCATCGATTCGCCAACAGTTAGCGAGTGGCGAAACGAGCAAACTCAATGAGGTACAACCCAACTGGCTATCGTCTAGCCGTGCTAGCTAACTTTGTTGTTGCTTTCACATGCAAAATTCTTCTTTAAGCGACGGGAACTCAAACATATCGAGCAGAGATGTGGAGAATCGATGACGGCTAGTACTAGGGGCTGAGAGCATTAAAATTCTGGCATTACTTATTTAGGACCACCCTAATGTACATACATATATATGTACATAAATACATGCACATTAAGTATAGTTTTCAGTTTTGAACTTCTAAAGCAGGACCTCTCTTAAATCATCAGACGAAGAAAAAATACTTTTCAACTTCATGCCACGCTGCATTGCAAATTCCAATGTTTTACAAATTTCGTTTTAAATTATTTAATGCAAGATTAATATACATATGTACATATGTACGTATGCATAAATATTATTCAAAACTGTCCACAATTCTACCAACTAATCCTTTCAATTCCCCTACTTAACATAAAAAGCAACAGCATAACATTTTTATGACACCAACACATAAAAAAAGGCGCATAAAAATAGCAAATCCGAATGACGCGTTCCCATAGAATGCCTTTGTATTTACAGTTGAGTATAAGTAGATATTTTAGTTGTGTGCCACAGAGACAACAGGCGAAAAATTCTTTTGGGGACAACCCCATACAATCCACAGGCAGCGCAGACACGTCTCAAAAATTATGACGCCACAACGACACGCCATGACAGAACAGTGGGTAGAAGAGGTTTTTTTTTTTTACTTACACGGGTGCATGCATACTCATAGCAGACTGCAAGAGGAAAGAGGTGTAACAGAGACATTGGGCGCTGCCTGTAAGGCAGAGAGACGCAATGAAATAAACAAAACAAAAGCACGAAAATTTTAAAATAAACGTGGCGTTGTAAGCAACTAAAAATGCAAGTGTGCCAACAACAAAAGTAATTAATAACAGCAACAATGCGCTGAGAGCACCTACAATTTGTTGCTAGGAGTTGGCTTTTTTTAAACGTTTCTGCACAACTAAAACAAACCAATTTTTTGTGCTATGCATTTGGTTTCGAAAAAAATAATCCTTTTGCTTAAGCATGCATGCATATATAAATGTATGTATGTGTGTTTGTGTGTGTAACTTTGGTACGTATGTATGCGTGTTGCAATAGCTAATAAATTGTCTCCCTAATCTCCATTATCGCCGTGTGGCCTAACATGCAACGAATTCCATGAGAACTCGGTCAACAGGAAGTTAAGATCTTAGGTCCAAACACTGTAGTGCCGTTACAATAAATTTTCTTCCGCATCCAACTAAAAAAAACAAACACATTATTGCAGGTTTTGACAGCCAATTGACAACTGCAAACGCACGTCAATGCACACACGCACTATCTTTAGCGTCGTTATCTGCCCCAGCAACTGTACGCGCTGCTTTCAACGTCTTTTACACAAATTGTCAAACAAATTCATGACGTATTTGTTATGTTGCCGCTGTCACTCAACCAGCAAACAAATGCACATAAAACACAAAATAGCACAAAAAGAGTGCAGAAGTCCAAATGGTCGACCGATTTCTTACACCAAATGCCTGCCTATAAATCGCCAATAATAAATCCTAAGTAAACACACACATAAATTAACACTCTGCAGTTGCTTGTGGGTGTGTGTGTGCGTGTGTGTGTACGTGTGGGTGATTTATCAGCATGCACTCTAGGAGTTCCAAAATCACTTGTGCAACAAGCGCATACTTTTCGAACTTTAAATTACTATAAGTATTTACATACATACACATTGGTCACCCATATATTTTACCTTACGATATATGTCGGTATGTACATATGTACCTGTGTGCATATAGTATACATGCAAACATAAATATGTATATATGTAGATATTTTATTTGTATATTGTAAATTATATTTATTTTTACATGCATTGTACATTTGCCTCTATTAACTGCTCCTTTCCATTTCCATTTCACTTTGCAGATAACTGCGGCACAGTAAGCAACTCATCATCGAACACTTCGGGTCCCTACAATATGGACGACATACTCATTATCACAGCAAAGCATAGCGAGCGCGCCATATTACGCGCCAACTTCTTGAAGAATCACTTTGATAAGATCACAAAACAGCGTGGGCGTAAACCGTTCAAGTAAGTTGGAAGTTTACTGAAAAAATCAGAGACCGCAGCGGTTATAAATTTTATTTAAAACTTACATTTAATTATTATTTGCTGAGTTTTATTTTATGTTCGAAAAATAATCGTTATTTTTGGTTTTAGTTTTATTTTTTTACGCAGAAAATAAAACTATTTTTTTGCTAAGAAAGTAAAATTATGTATTTATGCAGCTTCTGGTGTTTTTCCTGAAGATCGGAGATGAACTAAAAAAATCGTCCAACAAATATCATTAAGGTTAATAAGGACTAATGCTAGGTCTACGACTAAAATCATAGACAGACGGTAACGTTGAACCGGATTAACGGCACAGTTGATCTGATCGAAATTTTGCCCTGACAGAAGTTGAACAAGACTACGAATAAGACAACGAAGATGTATAAGGAAAGGCATACGAATACGAAACCAAATGCGAATACGAATGGGAATACAAATACAATTACGATTACCATTACCGTTAGCATTACCTTTCCCATTAATATCCTGCTACATTAAACGAGCAATTCTTGTACATAAATACCTTTATATATCCATAAGGTTCTCGGAAACGGCTCTAACTAGTTTGATGAAATTTTTGTATACAGATAATGTTTTGCATTTTAAGCTTATCTAAATAGGTATGATTTCCGAGAGGATTCGTATAAGGTTGCACCAACTATTCAAAATTAGTTAAAACATCATAACATGGGTATCAAATGGAAGGTGTATTAAAAAATCCTCCATTCAGAGATATTTGTAAGAGGGTTGCCACCTATTTTGAATCGCATATTTCGCAATATTATCCTTTAGATTATTAGTGTTAGGTTGCCACCTATTTTCGATTGCACACCCATTTATCTAAAACATCGCAATATGGATATCAAATTAAAGGTATTGGTGAGGACTTTGGTCAAAAAATATTTTTGATCAGGGTTACCACACTTCTATGTATGTAATACAAATTTTCATTTTGTAAATTTTAATCAGCACTTTTTTTTTGTATGTATACACAGTAGCTACATATACGCTCAAGATATGTACTATTCATTCCAGCGTATTTCTAAATAAGGTTTCCATTAAATTTAAATTTTCTTAAATTTATTTCCAATATATTTTTCTAAAGCTATCCCAATGAACAGTGTCTGATTAAAAAGCATATTCATTCCGAGCAAAGCTTCCATTTTCAGTTTGTTAAATTGGTTCACGAGATATTTATAAGTGACTAAGTGGAACCACCTTTTGTTTTAAGCTGAAGAACGGCAATTGAAAATATCTCGAAAACGTATCCATAGAACAAAATATTAACTCGGTTTTTGGAATCAGCGGACGATTCTACATACAAATTGGATAGTGGCGTCTGGAGAACAAAAACTAAATTAAAATTTGTGATCCAGTATTATTTTTCAAGCCAAAAATAAAACTAAAAAAAATAAGGATTATTTTTCAAATAAAAATCAAACTCCAAAAATAACGACTTTTTTTAAATGCAATAAATTAACTCAAAAAATAATTATTAAACTTGATTTTTTAACAGCCTTATTGCCTATCTCGAACGATAGATCGAACGAACGATTCGTCTGCAGACGATATCGTCTCTGCATGATATTTTGTAATTCTATCCTTCATCTTCGTATTTTCTTACGACAGTTACGTTGCAGTCGTCTCAATTTTAAACTGGGTCGAATTTAGGGATTTTAAATTTTTTCGCTTTTTACGATCCCCGGATTTTCGGGATGTCATTATCACAATTCCAGGATCCCGTGATTAGACCCTTAAATTGAAAAAATTGCTTCTATCTCTTCTACCATAAAATAAATAAATGGGTTTGAAACCTACTTTTTATTTAAAGTGGCGTTTTTATTTTCCTCTCTGACGTCAGGATTTATTTTAAAGGACTTTGTAATTTGAAAAATTATTTAAAACAGTCAATGCAATGTAGAATAAAAATATGGGTACCGAATAGAAGAGAAAATCTCTTTAAAATTCAAAAAAAATCCAAATTTTTAAGATTCACACGGACGAATAGATAATTTTTTAAGCTGATAAAGTTAGAAGATCGAAATTCGAGGATTTTATAGAGTTTATATAAGTCCTTAACATATAATTTTTTCAAAAACAAATATGTATTGCGAAATTTCAAGGATAAAATTTTAAAAGGACATTTTCAATATTTACCAGCCATTATTCACCAAGAAATTTAATCTGCTTAAATTCTTCGGAATTTCCTCTTTAATTTGATACCCATACTTCTTTTCTAAGCAAATTTCACTGATTTTTTAAATCAGTATAGAATTACACACGTCAGAGTGAAAATATAAAAAGGCAATCTTGCTATATTTGGACCATGGCTTCGCGAATATCTTGATTTTTGGGTATAAAATTTATTATCGCACGGGTTTATATGTATATAGAGCTAGACATTTATAAAAAAGTATTAATTATCAAATAAAAAAAAAGAAATATAGCCAATACTGGTCAAGAAAAGGGGTTTCTATTATTGCCATCAGTGCAAATTACAAATCCCGAAAATTCAGGGATTATTTGCCAAGAATACCGGGATTTTCGTAACCTAAATAAAATACATTCCTAGTAGAATTACATACATACATAACTTGGCTAGCTTTTAAAGCATTTTAATTGTAATTAGCTGTAGTGTCGCCAGTTGATTTCGACTTACTTACACAGTACCAACAACACACGAACGAAACTTCTGGCAGACGGAACGAACATTCGTTTCGTAACAGATTATAAGGCGGTTAATAAAACAAAAATTAGTTCTACTTTAATATAGAAAGGCCCTATGTCACATCGTCGCTGAAATGCACAAAAAACCATAACTAACCAAAAATTTGTATTGCATAAAAGATTTGAGGACTTAAAATTCGATGAAATGTATCATAATCAATCCAAAAGTGGATTTCGGATTTTTAGTTAGTTACTTTTTTTATTTCAGCGATGATGTGAGATAGGACTTTTCTATAATAACGTAACGATACGTAGTATGATGCTGAATTTTAAAAAATAATATGCATTTTTCTCATTATTTGTTATAGTTTTTTGCATATCAAAATCGAAGATGGTCCTTTCAGCGAGGAGATCGCAAACAAGTACCAAAATACAGCTTTGCAAATTGTCATACTTTGTCCGGCGCTATTGGCACTTTCGCACTCATTTTTACTCTCACAGTTGACGGCCATTGTACGCGTGGAGAAAGTGCTGGGTATTCTACTGGATATTACCGAGGAAAAGGTCAAGGAGATACAAAAAACAGGTACGACTTATTCCTTTGCGGAGTGTGATTATGTAACATTGTAAATATATTTTGAGTAACTGCGAAGCGCACACACTTGCAAGAGCGCGAGCCTGCTGCTTCGAGTCGGCCATTAAAATTTGAGCCGCTGAGCTAACGTGCGATAAATAAATATAGTTAATGATTTTTTGTCCACAAAATTATCGGTGATGTGCAGAGTATACTAATTACCTGAGACAAATTTTTCTTTAGATGGACCGAGCTATATAATATATGCTTTCCTATGTGCAATAGTTTTCTTAGGCTTGGTTTCGGACTAGCAAAAAATCTTATTCCTAAACGAGAGTTCAACATTTCTAATGGCATTTATTCAAGAATATTATGTATAAAAATGCATCTCAAATTATTCTCCTCTTTCAATCTACTTTTAGCGTTACCAAGCTATTACAAATGGCGTCGCTGTACCATACGCGACAACGATCAAGCACAGATTAGCAATATACTCGGCATAGCCACAGATATTTTGGGACGTGCACTATGCCAACGACCGCCGTGTCATGATCACAGCGGTATTTCGCGTAGTTTCTCTAGCTGCTCGGAGGGTTTTACCATACTGCCGAAGAAAGTGAAGATCGGGCAAAATAAAGTTGTTGCCATGCTAGCGGAACCACTGGAAAAGGACGATACAATCAAGATAATGGTAGAGAAATCTGGGGAGCTAATTGAAATAAGAAATTTCAAGTGTCGCAATCCATTCACTGTGCAGTTCTCCATACCAGGTGGGTGAAAAATTAACTAATTAATAAATAGAAATAATGTATTTTTTCTATTAAAATCTCTTTGTAAAACGTTATATTAAATTGCCGTATGTGTTTTTTTTTTTATTTCTTGTTCACTCCCCCCAGAGTCCTGCATGGAAATCTCCACCATGGTTGAAATACGCATCGAAAAGAACGAAAAGAGTCTTGGTGCGCGCCCCATCAAATGTGAAAGCCGATGCGCGAACTCGAGCAATTGTTACGTACTGAAGACTCACCCATTGAATTTATGTGCCACTCGTTGGGTATTGGACCAGCTGAACGCGATGCGCTCGATTTGCATTTATTGCAGTGCTTCCAGAAAAATATGCCGCCCAATTTTCATTTACTCAACGGTCCCTATGAGAAGCAGCACCACTTCTTAACTATACGCGAATCGAGTCCCGAGGAATATCCCACTCTATTGCATTTCGCCGCGCGTTGGGGTCTCAACCGTTTGTGCATTCAGCTCATGGAGTGTCCTGGCGGCGATACGGCATGCGGTATACGCAATTGCATTGGTAAAACACCAGCCGAATTGGCTGAACAGGAGGGCCATCACAAGCTGGCGACGAATATAGTTAGCTTCTCTGAGTTCCATGAGCTAACAACAATGTATCACTACTTTAAGGGTATTAGTAGCACCAGCGTAAATAACAATATAAATCAGTTAAATGGTAAAGTCGGCAACAACAATCACAATCTCAACCAGCAGAGTAACTGCAAGGTCGTTATTGAGGCGGTCAAATCAACGCCAGCGTCTCCGAAAGTGAAGCAACCCAAACCTCAAAAACCGATACCAACGGAGCCAAAGGAAGCCCTAATCTGCAGAGTACATGGAAATGTCAAGCGGTTCGGAACGTGAAAACACACCAGACACCAAACCGAAAACAGAGACGTTAGCTGTATCGAACTTGAATTACATTAGCGTCGAAACGGAGGACGAAAACTTGCAAGGCTCTTCTGCAGATGTTTGTAAGAATTTCGAGAAGGTCGTAACCACACCGGAAATGACTACGAATGAGCTGCGCATCAGCGAGCCACCATATTACCAATCGAAGGAGCAAAACAAGTCTGTTGATGTCACCGATTCGCCGTACCAGACAGACAAGTTTAGTCATGAATGCTCGCAATTGTTGGAGAACTGCAGCGGCACTACCGCAGGTAATGATTATGTGCTGCAACCATCCAATATACCAATTCCCCAAAAACTGGTTGCTACTCAAATGCCCACAGTGGCCAACAGCACAGAGGCTGATGATGGCAACTATCTCTTTCAACCCTCTAATCGACCAGTTGAAGACGAATTGCTGCCACAGAACCGACTCAGCTTGAGTCGTTCGTTGAGCTCATCCTCGCGTCCCGGACCAAACCCCACATACGGCACCTTGAAACGTACGGCTTCGGACGCATCGAACGTAACAACGCGTTCCAATGCCGATGATGAGCTTGCAGAGATAATGCATGACTTCAAGAACAATGTACTCAGCATACGCGATGTGGAGATGCTGGTTGAGAAATGGAAGCATCGCAACGATGTGCAGCAAAGCTTTCGTGAAAAACAGGAACAAATAGATCAGCTGCGTAAGGAATACGAGCGCATACAGGAAAATCTGCGTTCGCAGTTAAAGCGCGAAACACCATTCGAGAAAATCAAAAAGCTTTTTTCACGCCACAAATCCACAACACATCTGCCGGATAAAAGCTCTTGCGCCGACAGCGCGCTCGATGAAACTAAGTCATCCATCACAACAAGTTCAAGCTTCAAGTCTTCACAGCGTCCCATTAGCTCGCTCAGCTTGCAGAGTGTAGCGTCCTCCTCGTCATCGGGCCGCCTCAGCACTGGCAGCAATTGCAGCGGCACCTCGCTAGGCGACTCAGGCACACACTCCGATCACGAAGAGCGGCGCTTCGGCTGTCGACTTGGTTCGCCCGCTGCGCTAATGGAAAACTATCTCGTACCGCCACCACCACGTCCGGTGCTAACACCTAACTCAACACCGGGCGAGGAGCGTCAACAACTGGTATTTCCCTCACCGAAGTCATCACATCAAAGGCTAAACATACCCACCAGTCCTACCGGAAGCGAACATTACCAGATGTTTCCGTCAAACATACCCGTATATACCAGCCAAAATCTATCAACTTCACAGCCCAATAATTACCTAAACACAATAATGGAAGCGAAGGAACATGATGGAGCTGGCAGCGCTACCAGCAACAACAGCAACGGTCATCAATACCAAAATGGCGTTACATTGCAACCGATCAAAATCAATGAACGCCCAAATATTATCTATGGCAAGCTAACGAAAGCTTCGCCCACTTGCAGCTCCTTCAAGCCCAAGCAGGTGGCAGTGCCACAGGTTGGTAGCATTGAAGTACAGGCAGAGGTTTATCAAAATATTGGACCTAATTTGGAGCCTACCAAAGAGTGTGAGACGGCAAAGGGGGAGACAAAAGAGTGTGTAGCAGGCGAAGCAGCTGCAACGGAGGCGCCCAACTACATGAACTGCTGAGCGATGGGAATAGAGAAGAAGGATGGTTGAAAGAACGATGAATGAGTTGTTTGAGGTTATCTCGTATTTCAGCTCCTCATTTCTGCCATTTCTATATTCTAATTTAATTATGAAAACATAGTGCTGAGGATAAATTTTTAGTACGAAATAGAACATACTTAGTTATAAAAAATAGACATTATAAACAGACATGAGATTGTTGAAAACTCTAGTGTAGTTAAGTTTTAATTGTACCTTTATAAGAATAGATTTTATACATATATAAGAACACTGTATGTATTTAAAAAATATAACATGAGTATGAACTAGTTAAAGACGATTGAATTATTTTAAGAGGTATGTATAATCAGCATACACCATTCTTAGTCCATGTAAAGTCCCCCTAATGATCAGACTTAGCAAAGTCGATTTGTGCTAAGTATCCGAAAAGAAACTGGTAAAAGCACTCCACACTTAATCGAAACAATTTTTATTGCAGCTCTCCAAGGGTTAGGATAGTAATTTCGAAGAGTCAACCAAAAAACTAGACTAAGAGAAATATACAGTGGCGGAAAAATAAATAGTTACGCGACATTTTCGGTATTTTACCTTTGTTTATTTAATTTTTATTATTATTATAAAATTATGGCTGGTTATCTATTAAAAATCATGGACGTCCGAGTTGCAAGCTTTTTACAAAAATTAAAAAATTTGAAAAAAAATTCATCAAAACTCCACGCTTTTAATTAAATTTCTTAGCAACATTTTGAGTATGTAATTTTTAGCCCATTCAATTTTAGTACAATAAAGTGCAAGTTTAAAGTAACTAGGACTTACAATGGATTTTGAGCAAATTTTTTATTGTTAAGGTGTTGCTCATTGTTGCTCCATATAAAAAAAAATACATATTTTTTAGGGAAACAGCCTAACAACACAATTAAAAAAATTGTAGCCAATTGAAACTTAAACTTTATTACGCTATAAAACGGCATACAAAACATTTTTTCTAAAAATTATATTAAAATTTTGAAATTTTTTTTGCAATTTTGTTGAATATGTCGACTTTTCATAATTTTTTTTACAAAGTTTGAAATCCGAGCATATACTTTTATAACTGAATAATAAACGCTTATAAATAAAAGAAAAATATCCAAAACTTTTTAAAATCAATGTCCCTATTTATATTTTCGCCACCGTATGTGTGTAAGTACGTGTATCGCGCATGTAAGTACAAGAATTTTTGAAAACGTTTAGTTTGTTAAGTCAATTTAATTTCTAAGTATCATATTAGCGTATACATACTATTCATACAAATTACATGATATACATTTTCCTTTAAGAATATTTAAACTTAGCGATTTCAAGTGTACAGCAACAACCAAACATATTGCACACATATCAGTTACTTTAGAAAATTATAAAAATATACTTATATTAGGTCTACGTTTAATTTTACCATTGAAAATTAAAAATGTGCTTTCGGCTTAAATATGTATATGTGAGGGTATATAATTTTAAGTTTGTATGTATTGAAGACAATTGCAGGAACAAACCAACGATTTTTACTTTTCAGGCAAAGTTATTTGTTTTATTTTTTGTAACTATGCGAGTATTTGCTTTTATATTAAGAGACTGATGCTTTGGCTTGATGCATTTCTGAACGCACCCTATGTATGTATGTAAATATTTTATAAGTTTTATAAAAGAATATTTATACGCGTATACAAATATGTCACATTTAAAATACACATCAATTTAGTACATACATACATACGTACACTTTTTACGTACGTACATGTATGTATGCATATACAGATGTATGTACATGTGCATTTATAAAAGTTCTTATAAGAATTAAAAATCTAAATAAATAAATATTTTATATGTAAATTGCTGACGAATTTTAATGTTAAATAATTTAATAAATACTGCTATATTAGAATAAATACGAAAAAGCAAAAAAACAAAAAGCGTTTCTTTCCTTCTAATGTTGACTTAATTTTTTTATAAAGTTTTACTTGCCGAGCCACACCACTGGCCAAAAGTCGAGAAGTAACACAATTGATTTTAAACTTGGTATTTGGGGTTTTCGAGGTCGCTGATTTTGAATATGATGTCAGATTTTTTTAATTCAAAATGGGGGATCCAATATGGCGACCAAATTTTATAATTTTTTCCCGTTAACCAGAAACTCATATATATGAGGGGGTTTTCAAGGTTGTTGATTTCGAGTCCGGTGTCAGGTTTATGAAATTTAAAATGGCCGATCCCTTATGGCGACCAAATATTATAATTTTTTCTTTTTCCCTCATATATAAAACAGGTTCGAAGTCGCAAATTTCGAATCTGTTGTCAGATTTTTGAAACTCAAAATGGCGGATTCAATGTGAGGTTATCGTATTTGGAGCAAAGAAGTTTACATAAGTTTAAAACAGGAGGCCGCATTTTTGGTACATATGCATATTTTTCTAATCATAGGTGCTTCAAATAAAAACTTTTTCCTTTGGATAAAAGTATAACGAGTGTTTGTATTGTTATTTTGTTTACATAAATTTCTACTTATGTATTTAAAATGGCACTAGCACAACAAGTATATATTACTTATAATTAGGCTAGGTATAAAGATCAAAAAAAAAAAACAAAAAAAAACAAAAAAAAACTTTTACAAAAACTGCAAAAACGCATTTTTCACCTAAGTATATGCATATCATTCTTGCCTTTTCCTTTCATGTAGCTGTTATATTCTCCGGGGAGCACCCATTTAATAATATTTTGCAGCAAAAAGTTTAAAGCAGCAGTTTTTTGCATTTTTATTGACCGCTTATTTTGAACCATTGAAAAGCGCGGAAAAACACACGTAGAAGTTTTCTAAGTTATTCAAAAAGTGCAAGAAGTGCAACATTTTCGTTGCAGATCAATTAGAGAACCAGAAATAGACCACTCATTTTTCTAATTGCATTTTAAAGCGTCTAAACTTTTCTTGCTAGAAAAATGTTTAAAAAAGTTTCCTTCCACTCACGTTTCACTGTGCAATAACTCCACTTCGCGTACCTCATAGCTGTGAATGTATGTTGCTTGTGTTCGCTATGCATTCACTTTGATCAGCCGTTGGAAACCAAAGTACGAAAAAATTAATAGAAAAAAGAGAAGGATGTATGGCATGTGGTTAGCTCAGCAGTGCATGCATACTTGTGCATATTTTGTAAGTTTGTAGTGCTTATTCCACTCATTACTTTCCTTTTGGGCGAACCGACATCGTATAAATTAGCAAAGAGCCACTGAGTGGCAACAAAAAAAAACAACTGAAAGCTTAAAGTTATTTTCTCCTAGAATTTCCTTTGCAAATTTCATAGTGTTTGATTCAGTTCTATGTCGCATTTAAAAAGTTTGAAATTCATTCAATTTTAAATACCTGGAAAAATCATCGGAACTTTTTACTGAGTACACGCGCACTAAAACATAAAAGCGTTCAAACTCACATGCGTGTGTAATGTTTCAAGTGTACTCACTGTCTAAATGTTAATCTTCCGTATTTGTATATGTATATGTATGTGAGTATGCATGTACATAGAAATGTATATATTTTCAAATGACTTTCTATTCTCTCACTATTTTTGCTTATTTCCACAACTAACTACAGGAAATACTACGAATTGTAGCACACTCGTAGTACCGGCATACGTCTTTTTTTCTTATCGCTTGTAAAAGCTATGCAAAAATTTATATGCAGGCACATTTATGTTCGTAAATACTAAAATGTGTATATACTTATATATATGTATATGTTTTTCGCCTACTCGTGCATCAGAGTGCAGCTTTCATTTTCAGGGAAATATACGCTTGCCTGCTTTCGCACTTCATCTCCTTCAGCATCTGTAGCTTTTCTCCAAATTTATGTTCGGTAGTAAATGCAACCACTTATTTGTATTTGCAGCTGTAAGAATGAATGTATCCACCTCCATTGTGTTTCTCTTCGTTTGTCAACGGCAGGTTTGAAAGTGTAAGCAGTAAGCTTCTCAGCAATGTTTGTCGGTGCAGCGGAAACGTTCGCATATGCTAGTAAACGGCAATGGTTTCCCTCAACGATTTCCGGTCGCCATGTACTCATCGTACTACATTAACGTGAGCGCTACTACAGCTGATGTAGCTTGTCGTCGTCAATTACGACGAACATGCTCTCTTCCAATGGGTGAATGTAACACGCTCAATGCAGAAAAACACAGGGTAATACAGATGCAAGAAATTTGGAAATTTTCCGCAATTTTTGTAAAAAAAATTTCAAATCGGCCAATGGTTGGAATCCCCCGCGCCACCTAACGGCTAAATATTTTGTGAAGATATATCTTTCCATTTAAGTAAAATATACTATATATTTTCTAAATATAAAAGAAATCGGACTATAAATAAGGATTTTTCAAATATCTTGACTCCTGCGCCACCTATCGTGAAAACTTTTTTTGGGTTTTCAAATATCTCGACACCTCCGCCATCTAGCGGATTAATTCCACTCTCATATTCCATTGTCATCGGTCTCTGAGCTAGGTTTCAAGTTTTAAGTCTCTGGCTGATCGGGAAGTTGGTAAAAAATTTATTGCAATGCGATTCACATGTTTATACAAGTATAATTTTTTAAAGCAAATATTAAGCAAACAAATACTCTAAAAATTTAATAGAGTTTCTTACCCGATGGGTTTCACGCCACGATCTATAAATGCAGATTTTGTAGCACTATTTAGCTCACTTTTTGCTTTTAAAAAGTACTCGGTTTCAAATCTGCGATGTGACTTTTAGACGCCATGATGTCCTTTTAGGGCCAATTTTTCAGTGCAATGTTAAATCTGACTAAGGCTTAAACTAAGTTTAAGGGCTCGAGCTGTCTGGTTTAAATTAAAATTAGTCAATCAAATGTAAGCCAGCTGTTAAATATGAAGGTAAATTTAACGTGATCTAAGTTCAAACTGGCACTGAAAAATTGGCCCTTCGAGCCCAGTAGTTCCCGTCACATGTATAATAGCCATTTTAAATAAGTATGGAAAAGCGCACTACGTAATACATATTTGCATTCAA